TGCCTCGTGGAGGGGAAATCTGGGGAGCTGTGGCTTATCCTCTCTTGCTGCCACTTGCATTGCGATGGTCTGTCTTCCTAGTAACATCTGTTACTAGGAAAAAAAAAAAAAAACTTGGTTTGGGGGAGTTCCCAAGCCCACCCTCAGGTTCAACAATTACTAGAAAGACTTACAGATCCTAGAAAATCTACCGCATTCATGGTTATCATTTATTACAGCTAAAGGACATGCATGATAACCAGCAGAAGCAGCAGGAGCTACAGCAGAATCAAGCAGAGCCCAGGCACACGTTTCCAGTTGCCCTCTCTTAGTGGAGCTGCATACAGGGTGCTTCCTTGGTGCAGCAGTGATAGGTAGCAATGGGTACAAAGTGTCGCCAGCCAGGCAAGCTCACCACAGCCTTGGTGTTCAGGGTTCCCATGGGAGTTGACCAGGCTGCCAAGGAGCTGCCACATGGGGGATCTTAGTGCCCAGTCCACAGTGGTCAGAAGGATACAGTGTGGCCCAAAAAGACACTATTAGGACAGCCTCTCTGATGTGGCTCAAGACACTTATCCGGCAGGATGTTGCAACGGCTTGCAGGTCATCTCCCAGGCACTGGTCAAAATCTAGGCCACCCTTCGGATTGTGTAGGCTCTGGATGCCTGCTGAGCCCTGCGGCCTGCTGAGTCATCCCATGACTGTGCCCACACTGTTCATCATGTCACATTCATCCCTGGCCTTTTTACAGTAAGCAACAGCTGTGAAGGAACCCCCTCAGGGGCGTAAAAGAAAACGAACCCGCTCGCTATGATCATTCTCAAATGGGGCCACTTTCCTTCTTCAGCTGTAGAAGACAGTTGGTCAAAATGGTATTGGTGGTGACAGATTAAAGTATAAACACTTTTTTTTTACAGGCAGAGTTAGACAGTGAGAGAGACCAAAAGAAAGGTTTTCCTTTTCCTTTGGTTCATCCCCCAAATGGGTGCTATGGCCGGCACACTGCGCTGATCCGAAGCCAGGAGCCAGGTGCTTCCTCCTGGTCTCCCATGCGGGTGCAGGGCCCAAGCACTTGGGCCACCCTTCACTGCACTCCTGGGCCACAGCAGAGAGCTGGACTGGAAGAGGAGCAGCCAGGACAGAATCCGGCACCCCAACCGGGACTAGAACCCAGGGTGCCAGCGCCACAGACGGAGGATTAGCCAAGTGAGCTACGGCGCCGGCCAGTATAAACACTTTTATCCTTTTTGGATAGAGTCTTTGTTTACACTGTTCCTGGAATTTCAGGATGAAAAACCGTACCTTTTCATGTATCTTGGCCAAGGACAGTGAAACCAGAACTGCACTTTGAATCCCTCAAAGTACTTACAGCAGCAAAATTTTTGAAGCATTCTTTTTTTTTTTTTAGATTTTATTTGTTTATTTGAGAGGTAAAGTTACAGACAGAGAAAGGGAGAGATAGAGAGAAAGGTCTTTCATTCATTGGTTCACTCTCCAAATGGCCACAAAGGCTAGAGCTGAGCCAATCTGAAGCCAGGAGCCAGAAGATTTATGGATCTCCCATGTGGGTGCAGGGGCCCAAGCACTTGGGCCTACTTTCCCAGGTCATAGCAGGGAGCTGGATCAGAAGTGGAGCAGCGGGGACTTGAACCGGCACCCATGTTGGATGCTGGCACCACAAGCGGAGCCACAGGTGGAGGCTTTACCCACCATGCTGCAGCACTGGCCCCTCAAGCAATCTTAACACAGTGGGGCCTCAGCCACAGAGGAACAAGAGCTTCTGGCATCCTATTGGATGGTTGGTGACTATAGATAATGATAATGCACTGTATGTATGTATTTTTTTAAAGCTAAAAGAAGGGATTTTGAATGTTTTCACCACAAAGAAATGATAAATGTTTGAAGAGACTGATGTCTGATTTGAACGTTACACAACGTACGCATGTGTCACAACGTCACATGGTGCCCCAAAAATATCTAAAAATTTTTATGAATCAGCCAAAAAGAAAAGGAAAAGCCATTTTACCAAACATAATTGTAAATTGCTCTCTTTTAATGTAGGGTGGTAGAACACAGACTACCATCTCTAATTTTCAATTTGCACAAGGTAGACCCCATGAATTTGTGGCTTTGACCAAGATGGTGGTAGAGAGAAGAGCTGTATGATGAAGAATTTCCTGTGTACTCATTTGCAGAAGTTGCTTCTGAAAATATATAGTAAAATTCAGATATGGTCCACCTGTGCACGTGGAGGGGGCAGGGCTATGCAGGAGCCATGCATCTTATCACGAAGTTTTCTCTGCACACACCTTGGAATGCTGCTGTTTCCCTCCCTCCCTTCCTTCCTTCCTTCCTTCCTTCCTTCCTTCCTTCCTTCCTTCCTTCCTTCCTTCCTTTTGTCTAGAATGCAAGAATGTTCAGTCTCTGCAGGTCCCTGGGATTCTTTTTCTAAGATTTATTTATCCATCTGAAAGGCAGAGATACAGAGAAAGAAGGGGGAGGGGGAGCTGTCAATCATCCATCCACTGGTTCCCTGCCCAAAGGGCCACAATGGTTGGGCCTAGGCCAGGCCAAAGCCAGGAGCCAGGAGCTTCTTGCAGGTTTCCCACATGGGTGCAGGAGCCCAAGCATTGGGCAATCCTCTGCTGCTTTCCCAGGTGTTTCAGCAGAGAGCTGGATTGGAAGTGGAGCAGCCAGGACTCGGGCCAGTGCCTACATGGGATGTGGCACTGCAGGTGGAGGCTTAATCTTCAATGCCACAGTGCTGGCCCCAGAACAATGGTGTTTTTCAAAGAGGAAAGATTTTAGCTCTACCTACTCAAATCATAAGATTGAATTGAATTCAATAAAGTATTTCTTTGTATTTTTTATATTTTTAAAGGAAATTAAGTAATTGGGAATTTTATCTCTTCCAGAAACATAAATCAGGAAAGTTTTAAATCAATCCATCAACAAAAACAAACTTTTCCTTTTGAGCCTCTAACGCAATTCTGGCAATTTGGATGAAGGTCTTCAAATTCATGGATTCACCCTAGACACAGGCCTAGCTCTTCTTCTGTTTTGACCACCAGTTGAAATTAAAATTATATTTTCTCTAGGCCTGCCAGGAGATACTAAAGCACTCCTACAGAGCTTGACCCCTCTCCACAATGTTCTTTGCTTTTCTTGAGTTATCACAATCATTAAATGCTCAAGTTTCGGGACCAGCGCTGTGGCATAGCAAGTAAAGCTGCCGCCTGCTGTGCAGGCATCCCGTTTGGGCTCCAGTTCAAGTCCCCGCTGCTCCACTTCCTATCCAGCTCTCTGCTATGGCCTAGAAAAGCAGTAGAAGATGGCCCAAGTCCTTAGGCCCCTGCACCTGCGTGGGGGACCGGGAGGAGGCTCCTGGCTCCTGGCGTCTGATGGGCGCAGTTCCAGCCATTGTGGCCAATTGGGGAGTTAACCAGTGGATGGAGGACCTCTCTCTTTCTCTCTGCCTCAGCCTCTCTGTAACTCTGGCTTTCAAATAAAATAAATAAATCTTTAAAAAAAAATAAGATCTCAAGTTTCTATCTACTGAGGCATTAGAGACAGAAAAAGTAAAAAAAAAAAAAGAGAGAGAGAGAGAGAGAGAGAATTTCAAAGCTAAAATGAGTATAAGTGTCTCAGTTTGTAGACACCTGGGCCCCAGAGAAGTGAAGCGATCTGTGTGTGCTCACTCACTTTATCATTCAGTACCTGATTTCTGTCGAAAATGCCATCGTCCAGGTGGTGATGGTCTCCAGGGGCAGAGCCAGGAAAATGACCAGCAGCTGATCTGTGGCCCAGAGCTCTCCTCTCGCCAGGGGGCACACGTTCTGCGAGACCACATTCCCTCCAGGCTGCCTTATGACTGGGAAGACCCGCAGGGCTCTGCCTGCCAGGCCCTACCCTGGACCCACTGAGTCTGAAAGTGTACCAAAGGCAGCTGGGACTCTAAACTTTTAACAAGAGTCCAGCTGAGTCTCATCAGGGAGCCCGGGCGGGGCTCTCATTGGCTGACCAGCTTCAAGGCCCTCCCACCTTAGGCTGCCCTCTTTCCATCGCCAGGCTCATGGCCCTCCTGCAGCAGGTTGATCAAGGAGGCGCCTGCATCAGCCTTCCCCAACCCGGAGTGAGCGACAGAAGTGCCACCTCCTGAGCTTTAAGCAGGTGAGAAACTCGGCCTCACCAGACCGACTGCATCAGTTTCCCAGATGGAGGCCCAGCCCAGGCATTCTGATGAGCAAGCAAGCCAGTGCTGAGAAGCACCACTAACCCAGGGTCCTTTCAGAACCCCTGGGGAAGGACCCCAGGCCCCATGGGGCAGAGGACAGGCTGGGGATTTCCTTTCCCAGCCAGGTCACGAGACACCACCACGGATGTTAATATGCCCTCTCTCCCCACATGCGTCTGCCCTGCAGCTCAGACACTGGTCGAGAAGTGACAAATGCCACAAAGATGTCACAAAAGTGGTTTTCTCAAATTTTCCATCAAGCAAAGCAAAACAAAGGAACTCCTGCATCGGGAGCTGTCCTGGTAGGCTACATGCTCCCCACACCATACCTCGTCCAATCTGCAACCTCACCTTCGCTGTCATGTACTCAACTCTCAGGGCAGTTCTCAGAGCATTGCACTGTGTCTAACTGAGCCTTGTCTTCTTTGTCCCTGGTCTTGGGATCCCTGGGGGGTGGGGGTGGGAGTAGGGGACAGGTTGTCCCATCATCGCGTCCCCAGCACCTGCACAGTCTCCAGACACAGATGTTTGGGAAATTCCATGTGGTTGACATGCACAACTCAGTCTGGAGCTTTTCCTACCAGCCCACAGAGTCTCTTATCATGCACACATAGGGCAGTGGGCATGACATTCAAGAGACAGGAAGAGGACAGCCTTCCCCAAAGGGCCATGTGACATCTGAGGGGCTAAACTCCCAGCACTGAAGAGTATGGGTGGTTGTGTGATGTCCCGTCAACCTTCAGAGCCCACAGACTTGTGCCTCTCACAATACATGTTTCTGTAGAGTATGGGGAAATACTCTGAGATGACTTTAGCTTGCCTTTTAGTTCCTGGCCATGTTGAAATAAGGAGTCCAGAAGAGCAGAAATTAAGCTCTCTCCTTGCAAGTGGATTCCTCTGACACTACTAAAAAAATCTGCAGAGCAAGCTTCATGCTAATGACTGTCGGTTATGCTCGCCTAATGATGCCCAAGCTCCTACAAATTCATTATGAGCTCTCTCTGCTTCCCCTTTTTATTACTAGCCTGTCCTTCCTCTTTATCCACCCCCCCTTTAATTAGTAAGGCTTTGGATTCAGTGTAAGTTAACAGATAACTTAAAGGGAACAGTTGTCTAAGATTCTTTTCTCAATGAGGTCAGAATTGTTTCCATTATTGGTTAAAATAGTTTTAATGTCCCCCCTACATTTTGTTTCATTTCTGTAAAATATGAAGATACTTCAAAAAGTTTGTAGAAAATGAGCTTAGCCAGTTGTCACCGTGGTGAAGTCAGCCCTTGAGATCCCCACATCCCATAGTGACATGTGTCGCTCCACTCCCAACTCCAGCTTCCTGCTAATGCGCTCTCTGGGAACCATCAGGTAATGTCTCCGCAGAGCCCCTGCCACACAAGTGGGAGAAGGAGGCTGAGTTCTTACCTTCTGGTTGTGGCCTGGCCCAGCCCTGGCTGTTGCAGGCATTTGGGGAGTGAATCAGCAGACGGTAGATTTCTCTTTAGACTGTCTGCCTGTCTGCAATAGAAAGGCTATGTAAATAGAGTACATTATTTACTTTATACTGTATTTACATTAATGTACTCTATTTACATTATACTGTACCATTTAGGGAAAAATTGCAAGAAAAATAGTCTGCACATGTTCAGTCCACATAACATTTTTGTCTCAAGTGTTTTCCATGCCAGTTGGTTGGGTCTAGATTGGGAGCCTGTGAACATGGAGAGATACTCTATGTAGTGGCTTCATATTGACTTAATGTAGTTGCTTGAATTTTTGCTTGCTTTGTTCTAGATCATTTCCCTAATGATTTTTAAAAAATGACAACATCCAGACAAAGGACACTCCTGACCTACATGTATCACCAAAAATGCCCCCAGCCCAGCCTGCGGGCCGTCCTTGCCGCCATCCTCTCGGGCTGTGGAGGCCGAGTGTGTTTCCGCTGACTTCAGTCTCCCTCCACTGCAGTGTGTGACTATCAAAACGCGTATGCACTAGGTGCTGTGCAGCACGTGAAATGCACTCTCAAGCTGCAATGATCCACTATCAGAAGAAAAGGGTTTGGTGTACCGTCTCCCTCAAACTAGGACCGCACTCCCTCTTGTATCTTATCTCTGACACAAGCAAGGCTTCGTTGTGCGATCCAGATGCCTGGCCCTGAAGTCACTCTGTCTTTGGTTACTACAGAAAAGCAGTCTATTCACCAAAGCCTGAGAATGGAGTGTGTTTCTTCTATTAACCGTTTATTAAGTCAACAAGCTAAGTAATGACTGCATTTTTCTTTCTAACGTGCAGAAGCATTACGCATTTAGCAGTATTATTCCCTGAGCAGATGTCTCTTTTCACCATCTTCTTCCTTTCCTAGGAATATAAGGTTTCTTTTCCTCTGGGGGATTTGTAAGCTGCAAGTGCTTTGCAAGGTGTTCCTGGACAAACAGAGACGTGAAAATCACAGCATTATCCACAACGTGAGCCGCCAGCCGGTCTCATCAAGCCCTCAGTTAGCTCGTATTCTTTGGCTGAATGTACTCTGCCGCCCCTGAAATCATCCTCTGTGCTTTGATTCCAGAAGCTGTAGAAATACCTGGGAGTTACTTGAATGGGGCAGTCGTTGAAGTACAAAAGATAAGCAAGAAGCCTTTCACAGTCATTCAGCAAACGGCAGAATTTGACAGCCAAGATTCTAAAGGTTATAGCGAATCCCCTCCACATTAGTGTTTTGAGTAACTAAGCTCATTTTTATTGCTCAGCACTTCCGTTCACCAATAAAAAGGAGCATTCAAAAAAGATCAATATCTAAAGCCCATTAGGCAACTACCACGCATTCATGGTTTCCTCCAGGCTGATGTTAACAAAGAAATCCCTACTCTTCTACTTTTGAAAGCCCCCAGTGGAGGCTGGCCACCCCTTGGATATCATTTTTTTTTTCTTATGAAAAGTACAATATGCTCATGGGTCACCTTCAAAACAGGGTTACATTCTTTCCCAGGGGTAGAGTTACTGTGGGATCAAGTCACTGAGAAAGGTTGGCGAGGACAGAAAATGATTGCTCAGCAAGAACAGTGCAGGGCTGCCGTCTTCCCCTGTGTTCCTGCCCTTCCCAAGGTCATGGACATGCAGCCTGGGCCCAGATGGATCTCCAGCAACGCACACCAACACGCCTGATCCTGGCGCACGCTGCTGTGTGTCTGACAGCTGCGTGTGCTTCAGCCAAGGCTTCAGAGTGGGTGACCTATCCAGGCCTGCAGAGGAAAGCTCACCCTACAATTTCCCACTGAGTCAGGAGGTCAAGCAGGAATTCCACTGATGTCTTTAAATAGTCCTGGCTGCCACAAGCTACCATGGGAGAGGATTTGGGAGTGTGCCTGGCAGGGATGTGCTGGTCTCCAGTTGTTGCTGGAGGGAACTTGAGAGGAGACTTCCTGAGCTGCCTCCAAGGGACCCTGCCCGGTAAGGTCTGTTTGCAATGGTTCAATAGACGAGCTTGGGCACAAATGTGTTAGTGGGATGGTGGCATCTGATGATAGCAGCAGGAAATAGCTTCCTTTTTTACGGATGGGAAAACTGACTTTGGGCTGTGTTGGGAAAATCACTCGCTCCTATGAATAGGTTACATGAACTGCATTTGAGCAGCCCTGGGAAAATCAAGCATGCAACAACTCCACAGTACAGTGGTGTAAGCTCAGAACCACAGAGTGAGCAGCCATTACTTTGCTTCTCTTTACAAATGGGTGGAAGCAAGCAGAGGAGATGTTAGGGCTGGATGACAGCAGTGAGTGAGGGGTTAGGTCCACTCATTGCAACCTCATTTTTTTGTTTACTGTTCTTTGGTTGATGAGACTAGTCTACACCAAGTGGTGTGTTACTCTGTGTTATTCTCGTCTTTCTTGTATCTCTCTTCAGCAGGGATCTCAGCTTACCACTCATGTGGGTCTGTCTACTTCACTGAACTGGGAGCTCTCAGTAGAAGACGCAGAGTGTTACCCCTGAGTTTCCTAACTCAGTATCCGGACTGCAGAGAGTGCTGATAAGTCAAATTTTAATTAAATTAAACTAAACGGAATAAGAAGTTACACAAGTCTTTGCAACAACCAACCCACGATCCCGAGTCTTGATAGCATTTGCTTTATTCTGTAGACAAAAGTGACAAGGAACCAGAGCACCTGGCTCCGCAATGACCTGAAGGCACTGTCCTTTCTTTACTGCCACCTGGCCACCTTCTCATTCTCATTCTTTAACTCTGAGTGCATATCAATGTCTTGAGCCTCCTGGCTGCTACGATTTCCATGAGATCCAATGCCCCTGCTGCAGGAACACACATTGCTCATCCTGCTGCCTGTGTTTCTCTAACAGCTGTGCACTCTTAAAATAAAAAACAAAACAAGCTTCATGCCTTCACAGAGCCTGCTCTCCAAAGAACTTTTAAATGTCACTAATTTTTTAAAATATCTACACATGAAGGCCAAGCAGCCAATATTCCGTCCTCTGAATTTTCAAAGGGCAATTACATATTTAGCATGGTTTTTCTACACCTTGCTGCCTGCTACCTGCCTTTTGGCCATATTTTCCCAATTACTAGCTTATCTCCAAGAGGGCAAATCAAGGAAGGGGGAAAAGTGAATTAGAAAAGGATAATTTGACTATGGGCTAGGATCGCTAGAAAAGAAATTCAGGAATGTGACTAAGGTTGGAAAAGGGCTTGTGAAAGACAGTTGAAACTGCACAATAACATTGCCTCATAGTTATCATCTGAAAGTCATCACCCTGTTACTCACCACCAGACATAAACATAAGCAGGCTGATTCTTACCCTACAGTCATTTTAAAAAATTCCTATGATTATTTCCCCAGAACTCCAGGGACAAGCTTTGCCTGGTTTGGTCCTGGGCAATGGAGCATGGCTCCGGCTTGCCCTTTGGTCCCAAGTAATGCTTGATTGAGGCTGTTGGAGGAACATGTCTTGCTATTGCCACACGGCCATCGGTTGCTGCTTCAAGGATGGAAAGCACCTAAAAGCAGAAGTCCCCAATGCCCCCAGACCATCCATGGCACTCAGTATGTCCTGGTTTGCCTTTCGCATGCACACCTGCTGTCCATGCTTCCCAAGAATCTCAGTACTCCTTAGAAGACTCAGAACAGTTCGTTCTCTCCAGAGAAAACTAAGAGCCTGCTTCCATTAGTGCGTGGATAAGGTGAATATAACAATCGGAGGTTCTTAAAAACAGAGAGTGAAAAACACACGCTTCCCCGATGGATATTCAACCACTGTTTAGCGGCTATTAGCAAGAGCATTGAAATATACTAGCAGGAAGAGTAGCGCGTTTGCTTTAGAGAAGCACCGGAAGTGACCTAGTGCAGAGGCGCTGGCTCCCGTCCATACTCCCGGTGCCCACATCAGTTGTGTTTTTTCTCTTTCAGGTAGCTGAAGAGCATCTCTAGGCCCCCCTCCACCAGCTCTGGCAGCGGCTTGGATAAGGGATTATGGGAAATGTGGAGCCCCTTGTCCATAGGGTTCCAGGCGATCCTTGCCAGTCTACCCAGCAGATAGAGCTCATCCGGGAGGGTCTGGATGTCGTTGTTGTTTAAGTTCAGCATCTCCAGGCTGGAGAGGAGGCAGAGCGACCTCGGGAAGGAGTGGATGTTGTTGCTCTCCGCGATGAAGATCTGCAGGCTGGCCAGGCACTGGATGCTCTCGGCGATGTTCTCCAGGCGATTGGAGCCCACGTGCAAGAAATCCAGCTCCTTCAGCGCGAACACACACATGGGGATGTGTGCAAAATAGTTGTTGCTGAGGTTCAGCTTCCTCAGCCGGGAGAGGTCGGCGAAGCTGGCGGGAAGCTGGGACAGGCAGTTGTGGGACAAGCTCAGGACCTCCAAGTTCCTGCACAGGCTTAGCTCGGCCGGCACCTCCGTCAGGCAGTTCATGTTGACGAACAGGACCTTGAGGCTGTGGAGGAGGCTGACTTCCCTGGGCAGACTCTTCAGGCGGTTCCCGCACAAGTTCAAGACCACGATCCGACTCAGTCTCCCCACCTCGGGCGGAAGAATCCGGAGCTGGTTGTGCGACAGATTGAGTTTCTGGACCTCCGAGAGGCCCCACAGAAAGTCTGGGATGTCTGTCATTCCTTTGGTGACCAAGCTGAAGCTGACGTGGCGCATGCCCCGCTTCAGCAGGGACCGCGGGTCCCTTCCCAAGAGCACGGTGTCATCCCAGGGAGAAAACTTCTGTCCCCTCCTGAGGAGCAGCATCCCCTTGGGGTCCTTGTCCTTGGAGTTGGTCCTTGACTGTCTGGCCCCCATGGCCGTTTTCTTTCCACTTGCTCTCCGCCGTCACCTCCGAGACTGTGAGTTTGTCCTGCCCCAGCTGCTGAAAGCCAGGCTGTGGCAGGCAGGGAGCAGGTGCACGGGTGAGAACAGAGTTGCGGCCAGTAGGACCCAGCGTGGACAAAGCTGATGGTCCAGCCTTTTGGTGTCCCTGGGTGGCTGTAGGAGTCGTGCCTTTCCCTGAGGGTGGGCTTAGGTGGTTTCTCTCCGAGCAGCCGGGCGGTAATGATATCCTTGCTCCTGAGGCTGCAGAACAGAACTGCTCAATTCCCTCTGAATGCCACAAGGCAGCTGTCACTGTCATTCTGCCTGAGTTTTATTGACCCGCAATGTGCAAGCAGGTCACAGGGCGGTTGCGTATAATTTTACCCTCCTGGCTTTTCTTGGGTATTATGCTTGAGCAGGGTGATTGGCAAGCCTCTCTCTCCAAAGAAGCAAAAGTGGGAGGAAGAAGCAGGCCACACAAACAGCAGTCCACCTGGGCACTCCTGGAACTCCTCTGGATAGCTTGAGAGTGAAACCGGGGTGGTCGCTGATGACAGAGGGGTGTTCCCCAAGCGGGTGTCATCCAGGCCTGTCCCAAACATTAATCAAGTGTGTTATTCATGAGAAAATAACAAAACCCGGAAACTTGAAGACCGCAGGATTTTACAGTGTGCTTGTAAGAGGCGATTTAGCGAGGCGGGAGTGAAAGGGTGTCAGGACACTTCACTCCCATGTCAGCCACAGGAGCCCTGGGCTCATCTGGTTGGCAGTGGACCCTGGGACCTGATCTCCCCCAGCCAGGAGCTCACTCTGGGTCAGGGAATGTGCAAGTCTGTTGCCATGGCTGAGGCCCAGTGCCTGGGCAGGCAAAGCTATAGATTACAGGCAATGGGAGAGTCCTTCCCTCTCCCCTGGCATCTGAAATGCCTAACCTCTTTCAACTGAGTGGGCCCCAGGGATTCGTGGACAAAGGTGGAGATCTTGGACACTCTTGCAATGGGGCACTTGAGTGTCCTTGCTGTCAGTTGGTGGTGGTGGTGGTGGGGAGCTGTAATGTGGCTAAATGTGCATGTCAAGTTTTTGGTGCACATCAAGCCTTATAGAGTCACGCACCACATCCAATACTTCAGTGGCGGCCCACATGTGTGACTGTGGTCCTATAAGGCCACATGCCCTAGTGGCATTGCAGTCATCTTAGTTTGTGTAAGTATGTTCTGATGTGCATTTACTTGATGATGAAAAGTGCTTAATGAGACATTTCTCAGAACGTATATCCCTGTCACTAAGCAGTGCATGACTGTATGAGTCTATGCAAATTTCACACAGCAGTAGATTTCTGTTGCTAAAAATTAGTTCTGCTTCCATTTTCCTTCAAGAAGTATGAGAAATGGTGCTTGGGTATCTCAAAGAGGAGTTAATAGCAGGAGATGGGATACTCTGAGAAAGAATTGACAGCTTTATGCTCTCTTTTTTTTAAAGATTTTATTTATTTATTTGACAGGTAGAGTTATAGACAGTGAGAGAGAGAGACAGAGAGAAAGGTCTTCCTTCTGCTGGTTCACTCCCCAAATGGCTGCTACGGCCATAGCTGTGCCAATCCAAAGCCAGGAGTCACGTGCTTCTTTCTGGTCTCCCATGCATGTGCAGGGACCTAAGCACTTGGGCCATCCTCCACTGCCCTCCCAGGCCACAGCAGAGAACTTGACTGGAAGAGGAGCAACCAGGACTCAAACCTGGCACCCATATGGGATGCTAGCGCCTTGGGCAGAGGATTAACCAAGTGAGCCACAGCGCCGGCCCCTGACAGCTTTATTCTCTATGACAATCATTTCTCTTCTCACTTGGTACATTTTTTTCCAATAAATATGTTTTCAGCACTTATCAATAGCCAAGATTTATTTAATCTTTAATTTTTTTTAGTTTGTTTTAAAGGCAGAGACACAGAGACAAACAGACAGAGATCTTGCATCCACTGGTTCATTCTTCAAATGCCCACGACAGCTGGGACTGTTCAGGCCAACAACAAGAGCCCAGAACTCAATCCAGGTCTCCCCTGTGGCTGGCAAGTACTCAATGACTTGGACCATTACCTACTACCTTCCAGGGTTCACATTAGCAAGAAACCGGAATAGGAAGTGGAGCCAGGACTCTAGCTCAGGCATTTTGATATGGAATGAGAATGTCCAAGCAGCATTTTAAGTGCTGCACCAAATGCTTGCCCCTTACTGAATCTTTACTGTGTGAAAATCACTGAACCACGTACATATTCGTATCCATATCCAAAGTGATAGCACAACTCCCCTAACTCATGGGTATTAACATATAGTACACTGACGATGCCTGATGGGAACTCCAAAATTGATCATTGTTCCAGAAATGGTAGCTGCTTTACACATATAAACACACGAGACACGTATAGCTCCCGCCCCCACCTGTAAACATGCCCCAGGAGTCTCTCAATGGGCATTCTCCATGTGTTTGATTTTTATTCTGTCCTTGATCATGAACTTTACAATTTCTTCAAGGCCAATCAAACCTATTGCTGTGAAGCAACCCTCATTCATCTTCCATTTGCTTTATATTTGCAGTACATTTAGTTCTGGCACCATGGTAGACATTTTTATATGCTCTATTTGATACTTGTAAGGTAGGTAAAGTTTGTACTAAATGCCCGTGTTAAACATGAGGAAGCCAAGTGGCAGGCCACTTGAGACGCCACTTGGGAAGCGTGCATCCCGCTATGGAGTGCCTGGTTTGAGTCCTGTTTCCTGGGCTTTTCATTCCAGCTTCATGCTAATGCACACCCTGCGAGGCAGCAGGTGATGGGTCAAGTGCGTGGGTTCTTGCCACCCATGTGGGAAGCCATGATGGAGTTCTAGGCTTCTGGCTTTGGCCTGACCCAGCCTGGCTCTTGCAGACATTTGGGGAATCAGCAGATGGAAGGAGTCAGGAGTCAGAACCGGAATACCTGGGCATTGATCCTGATGGTGACACTGACTGCTTTTGTGACTTTTGTGAGATTCATGTAATGTAGCTGAAGCTTAGCTTCCTCATATATTCGTATGTCTTTTCAATTTTTCTTCATTTTCCTCTTTCTGTAATTTGAAAAGCTACTTAGCTTGTCTGTGCTCCACTTCCTCATATGTAAAATGCAGCCACTAAGTGTGGCTAGCCTATAAGGTTGCTATGGAATGAAAGAGTCAGTGTTCAGACAATGCACAGAGCAGGGCTTCGTACACACAGGACACCTGCCAGAGCACAGGGAGATGGTCACTTCCACAGCCCCTGAGCACCTGCACCAGCACAACACCCCTCCTTTCACCCATGCCACACCCAATCAGCTCTTCCTGGGGCACCCGCACTTTTCTAGTGCACAAAACACTTAGGGACTGTTTCTCAGGGAGACTCAAAGTGAATAGCTTTTCTCTGTACGTCAAGTTCTTCTTCCAAGATCATTTATCCTCATTTCGTTCGCCATCTCATGTCTCAGCTCGTGTTTGCTGGTGGCTCAATTAGACCTCCAGCTTCTTGTTAGCCCAGAGTCCTAGAACAATTCTGAGGACACAGTAGGCACTCAGTCAATGCTTGCACTTGGCTCCGCTGGAAACTGGATGTGAGAAAAGAACAATGCAAAAGGCAGCGGTATCCTGTTTGCTTTGCATTGCTTCCTCAACACTGCATTTTGATACGTGCCTGTGAACATGTACCTTGGAACCTTACCCTGTCCTCTGGGCTGAGCTGCTCACAGAACCCGGATTTAACCTCCAACCAAAGCATGTCAGACACAAGTCTATTTCACCTGCAGGAGGGGCCTTGGCACCTTCGCATGAGTCAGGGCTGCTCAGTCTCTCTGTGCCTTCCCTTGGATTTCCTCTTCATGGGTCTCTTGTGAAGATCCGTGCAATGACATACGTAAAGCAAGCAACAACAACAACACCTGCACCACCTCTAGGCAGCCTAATGCAGTCCATCCTGCCTTCTGTGGCCTATCAAGTTCTAGAGTGTTCTAGAACTCTGTTCCTATCAACCCACTGCTCAAAGACACCCCCCCCCCAGTGACATACCTGAGCCCTCAGACTGCCCATGTAGTTCATGGTCACACACCTGCCTGCATCACAGTCTCTTAGCCCAGCATCCACCCCCACAACACACACATACTCATGACATTCCAGCAACACTGAAGTGGTAACTGGCTCCTCTGCCTGGCCCTGGGGCTTCACAGCCCTGTCCCTTTGTTCATGCAGGTCCTGGACTCCATGTGGCTTTCACTACAAATGCTTCTGGGAACACAAGGCAGAGCCACATCCTCTGGGAACCCATCACTGTCCCCTCACCTTCCCCCGGCCTACCTGGCAACCTTTCTCCCTTCCCAGAGCACCCAAGGATTACCTTTGTCACGGAGTTCATCAATCTATAGAGCAGCAGGGACAATTTCACCCCTAAGGGGACATTTGGCAGGGTTTGGAGATATGTTGGGCCATCAACTGAGAGCGAGCGGTCTGTTACTGACACCTAAGGGGTAGAGGCCAAGGGTATTGCTAACATCCTGCAATGCCAGGACAGTCTGCAGCAGGAAAAATGACCTGGCCCCAAACCTCAACAGTGCAGAGGAATGCACTACCCCTGAGAACGCTGCTCTGGTGCCAGTCTCTCCACCACATTATAAACACCGTTCTCAAGATTCTCAAGTCTGGAGTTAAAGCTTGCATATATTATTTACTTTTTAAAGGTTTAGTTGTTTATTTGAAAGGCAGAGTTACAGAGAAAGAGGGAGAGAGGGAGGGAGAGAGAGAGAGAAAGAGAGGTCTTCCATCTGCCGGTTCACTCTCTAAATGGTTCAGGGCTGGGCCAAGCTGAAGCCAGGAGCCCGGAACTCCTCCAGGTCTCCCACATGGTGCAGGGGCCTAAGCACTTGGACCATCTTCCAGGACATCCAGGACTCGAACTAGCCCCCATATGGGAAGCTGGGATTACAGGTGGCTCTTGGAGCTAACTCTTCTCCATCATGGTTCATTCCCCAGAGCCCAGGATATCACTTTATGTGTAATTCCTCCCCTGCTACTCCCTCCCATTTGTGACTCAAATACATTCTGTTTTGAGATGGTCACTACCTCTCTGTGTCCTATTTCGGGACCTCCACAATCAGAAATATCGATGATCATTTGTCACCTGGAATCAAACTCTTAGGTGCCCCAGAATGACCCTGCTGACATTACGCTCAGGAAGAGAACCTGCACACAAGGCTGCTTCCTGTCTTTGGAATGGGAACATCGATAGCTCCAGCCCATCACCC